ATATATACACACACACATCTTTTCCTATCTAGACTACATGGGCTGCTGTCACAGGTGAGACCGTACCAAAAGGGGATGCTTTGCAGACCAGGATGTGCATGAGGAGGAAGGCTGGCTGCTCCCCCAGCGGTATATAAGCCCAGTCCCCACTTCCATTTCAATGCAGACCTCCTCCAAAAACCACCCAACATCTCAACACCCACTACTCCTCCTCATGGAGCACCTCTCCAAACCACGCACAAACCTTGTTCCTTTTATATTGGTTAATAACTCAGCTCGTAAAAGGCTGGTAGAGGCTGCAAGGGAAGAGATCTGCTCACTATCACTTGGGGTCCCTTACAGACTCATTAATCATCCAAGCCTGGCTGCGCAGCTCAGAGTGGTTGGGGAAAGCCTGGAGGCTGCCAGGATAGCACAAGAAGGCTCCTTAATGCCTAAAATTATTTAAAGGCACCCTTTCCGTTTCAAGCTCTGCCAGAGAAGACAGTTAAAGCCTCTGGTTTTACAGATCATTTAGTACTGCAAGCAGGCACGTACCCGGGGAGGATGGGCTCAGCCCCGGCTGCGCGGAGGCAAGAGGTGCCCGCAGGTTCCGTGGTGCTCACCTGGCACAGCCCTCTGCCACCCAAACCCTAGGCTCCTCTTGACTCCGTGACGGTCCCTGCAAGGAGGTGGCACCTCAGCTCTGCCCGCGGGGACCCCAGCACCAAGGCACGTTACTTCCAGCCCACGGAGTCCCATTGCACAAGGAGGGCTCCCATGCCCGGGCGTGGTGTGGCACGCAAGGTGCTAATGCGAGATGACTGCTGTCCGGAGCATCTCGTGGGATTCAGTCAGCTTCTTCCCATGGCCCAGCATGGGCAGGTAGCGCTGGCTGTCCCCTCCAGCCAGGAAGAGCTGATGCTGGGAGCAGAGCTGGGGATGGAAGGCGGAGAGAACTAGAGCTACTGCCAGGAGAAGAGCCAGGGGAGATGGAGGTGAGGGGGAGCAGGGAAGGCTGTCCCCTCATCACCACCCCAGGGCCATCTCCAGCTTTCAGGTGGGCTGCTGCGACCCCCTCACCTGTCAGGCCCTGCAGAGCTGCTCGCTGCCCATCCCCTCAGACATGCTGCCGCAGGAACACCCTATGCTTGTCCCGACTCTTGCTGTGGTTGCACCAAGTGAGGAAAAACCTGAGAGCAGTGCAACAAGTGGCTCAGAGGCAGCGGTGCCCAATGGCGCAAGCGATGCTGGCAGCAGCCTCTGAGCCCGGGACAGGTGTCCCAGGTCCTCTCTGGCTCCTGTCACCCACCCTCACACACTGAACATCCCATACCAGGGAACACCCAGCCGGCTTGCCCTGCTGGGGTGGCTGAGGATGCTTTGTCCTGGCACGGGGTTATGGGGGGCCAGACTGGCCAGGGGAGCAGCAGCAGGGATTCAATGTCACGGGAGCCTCTGGCTTCATCATGCTGCATTCAGGCATTTGCTGATCAAGTGGCCCCATGATGGGCAGCCGGCCCCCCGCAGCCGCTGCAGTCCTGAGCTCACGCTGACAGCAGCCAGAGCTGGGACTGCCGCCGAAGCCTGGAGTCAGCAGAAAGCCTTCCCAGGCAGAGGCAGGGTCCTGAGGGGGAAGATGTTAGAGGGCTCCTGGCTCCGGCTTCAGGAAAGGTTCCCTGGCCAGGCTGGGTGCTCTCAAGACAGCCTAGCCAGCAGGACCAGAGGAGGTGACCACTTCTTGGTAGACTGTGAGTGAAACAAGCTGGAGATGTCCTGAAACAGCTCTCAGCAGGCTGCAGACCTACACAGCCGCTGCCACTCCAGCCCACAGCACCTGTGGTCTGGCTTGCTGTGGACCCACAGTACCTCTGATTTTGGCGTACAGCTCCTTACCACTACTGTCTAGGGATGGCAGAGATGTGGGTGCCAATGCCGCCCCAGGAGCACTTCCCTCCTGCTCAGCCCTGCAGAAGGGAAGGTCTCAGGAGTGACTGATGCTTTCAGCATCGCTGCCTCTCTACGCCACCACAGCCCAGCTCCATAGTGTCACCAGGGGGTCTAAAAATCACAACAGGTTTCATTCTGACATCTGTCTCTGCTTCCTAAGCCTTTAGTTTACCCTCAGTCTGGATTTGTTAGCTTCTGCCCCCGACCCCCCCCTACAAACATTGGGGTAGAAACAGAAAGCATGACAGGACACTTCACCTCCAGGAGCAGGGACCACAGGAAGTACATGACTACCTGGCTGATGGGAAGGACCAGCCCTGATGGACCTTTCCATGCCTCCCCAAAAGCAACCTCCACTCCCCTCGCCAGCTGTGCAGCTCCACCATCACCCAAAACATGCTCCACAGCCACCTGCACCCATGCCTTGCTGTGGGATTCCCATGGGATCCCTGCCTCCCTTGGTGGCTCTGCCAGAGCAGCTCCTGCTGGCCAGCAATGTGATGAGCAAAGCCCCCTTTGGATTCAGCCCAGGGAAGGGGACCCCCTGCTCCAGTTGCTGCCCTATAAAAGGGTATGCCATGGGGATGGCTGCCTGTGGGCAGGGTGCTGCAGCCCCTGTGGGCTCCACAGCAGGATGCAGTGCTGGATGTGTTTCCAAGGCAACAGGCAGGCTGTCTGCACAGGGATACGCTCACAAGCGGGGCTGGGGTGAGAGTGGTGGGGACATTCCAAAGCCAGGCATGGCAGCAGCTGGTTAAGGCTAGTGTCCCCAGATCTTGGGCTCCAGACATGTCCCAGCACACCCAGGCCACCACGTTCTCTGGGTGCTTCTGGAGCTCCAGTACTCAAGCCACCTCTCCAAAGGTCTGCAGCATGTTGCTGCTCCTTCCCCCATTCCCACCCTCCAGAGAAGGTGGCCAGACTGTGTCCACACACCCACCGCAGGAAGAGCCATGGCCCCAAGAGACTGAGGATAGCATGACAAGGGTGCAGGATGATGAAACTCCCACGCCTCCCCAAGGCATGCACCTCTGGGTGGGACACATGTGGTCCCTATTACAGACTGGGATGGGGTGGCTGCAGCCCCAGAACCCACCTCCAGGACCCTGCCGCTGATGTACCGGTCGCAGGTCTCGCACTTGATGCCGAACTGGGCATGGTAGTCAGACTCGCAGTACGGGATGCCATCCCTTTGGGAGAGGGAAGAGAAGAGGGTGAGCGGCAGGTCAGCCGGGCTGAGCACCCCCTCATTGCAGCCCCAGCCCCGGGGGGCTGCAGCCCAGCAATGGCCAGCACAGCCAAGCCTGCCACCAGGATGGTGGCACTCACTTGCTGATGTACTCGCCGGTGAGGATGATCCCGCACGTTTGGCACTTGAAGCAGCTGACGTGCCACTGCTTCTCCAGGGCCAGGAGGGATTGGCCTTGCTTGATCTCCTCCTTGCAGCCTGCGCAGTCTGGGGGGACAGAAGTGGGGGCAGTGTGGGACCACCACAGCTCCCCGGCGAGGGGCTCGGCAGCGTGGCAGGAACACCCACATCTGCTGGCCCACGCCAAGGCACCCTGACCATTTAACCTGGCACACCCCTCACACCCAGAAGAAAGCCCTGCCCCAGAAGACCCTCTCTTCTACGAGATGCTGCTGTTATAAACACCCTGCTCCCGAGACCACTCCAGGGACAGCTTCTTGGGGATCACTTCTTTATGGGAACACGCCACCTCTGCTTGTTCCCAGCAAAGGTGCCAGGAGGAAAGCCTTCTGCTTGAGCTGGGACCTCTGAGCCACCGCTGGCACCCAGCCACCTCGGCCAAGCACTTGCCACAGCACAGATCTGGGTCTCCCTGCTGGGCAGCGAGCCTGAACCAGGGCGAGTGCGTGGGCTGCTGGGGCCATGCTGCCCTGGTAGGTCCCCGGGGGCTCCCCTCTGGGGTGGGAGCGGTAGGAAGTGTCCGGCAGTGAGCGGAGCAGAGGAAGGGCTGTGCTCTCCGGCAGCCGCGTCCGGACCTACTGCAGTATTTACGAGACTCCCTTCCTTCCCCACTTCCCCTGGCTCCCGTCAAGGCTGGGAGCAGGAAGCACATGGGCCTCGGACCCCTGACCTTGACTCCTCCTTGTCCTCTTCTCCCCCTGGGCAGCAGGTTTGCCCGGATGGGGTTTCTCCTTAACCCTCTCCCTGCCACGGCCCCAGCAAGGTGCAGCAGCACGGCACAGGCACTCTAAGCAGGCAGGCTTTTCCACTCAGCTCATCCCCAGGCAGCTCTGCACCAAGTCTCTGCCCGCTGGACAAAGCTAAGGGGTGACAATTTTTGACCCCTGGTAAAAAGCAGGCTGGCCAGCTCAGCTGAGCCAGGATCCCTTCCCTCTCTCACACAGGTCCTGCTGTTTTTTCAGTTGCTCGCAGGGCTGGGTGCTGCAGAGAGAGGTTCAGCATCCTTCTTTTAGGGATGCCCTCCCTGCAGAGTGCACCAGCACAGGCTCCAGCAGGCACACCTCCCCTGCCACCACTTCTGGGTGGCACTGCCAGGGCCACCTGGGCTGCAAGGGGCACAGGCAGGCAGGCGCTGCATCTGGCTGGTGCCTGCAGCCGCCCATGAATAAAGCATGGTGCCCTCAGGTAACCCTGTTCTGCAGGCTGGGGAGGAGCGCTGGTGGGAAGTGAGAGGAAGGTGATGGGAAGGGAGAGGAAGGCAGGCGAGAGGCAGAGCGTGTGGCTGCCCTTCCCCTGCCCCTGCTACAGGAGGCAGCGGGGTGCTGCTGCCTCTGGGCAGCTCAGGGTGCTGACGGAGGAAGATGGGGGAAGCCCTGTTCTCTGGCTGGGGCTCGGTCAAACCCTGCCACATCCCCTAATTCCATCAAGGCCATGGTGACAGCTCGGGGGAGGCAGCCTGGGGGGACTCCCAGGGACCTATCAGCACCTATTCGTAACTCAACCCAAACAGCCACCACCAGTGCCACCATGGTGACTGGGTGACAAGGACCATGGGTGACACCACAGTCCTGGGTCCCAGCCCTGGTTGCAGGACTCTGCTTCAGGCACTGATGCTCCAGGGCTTGCTGAGCCGCAGCAGCAAGGGCCCCAGCTGAGCCTGCTGACGTGGCCGGGTTTGGGCACCACGGAGTGGCACAGCTCCCAGCTCTCCCTGCCTTCTGCCACCTGCCCACGCACTGCGCTGAGACAGCTCCCCTGAGACTTGACTGCAGCAAACATGGGGCATATGGGAGACAGTGAAGCACAGACCATACATTAATGCTGCAGTCCCCTTGCTCCAGACACAGGCTGAAGCGAGCCCTGCGTGCAGCAGCTCCATGTCACAGGGATGCTCTACCAGCCCCCAAGCACAGCACCCATGGGATGCTCCACAGTGGCCCAGGGCAGAGAGCCAGCAGCAAGGAAAAACTGGGAGGGGGACAAAGCATGGCATGAAGGGAGGGTATCCCAAGGAACAACCTGGGATCAAAAGCAAGGCCAAATCCACCCAAAGAGCCTGTCCTTTGCTCCTGCTGAGTTTTAGCTCGGGTTCATCAGTGCAAGAGGATGAGCGTAAGGAGCCTTTCAGTGCTTGTAGAGGCAGTGAGTAACGCCAGGGTTAGGAAAGCCAGGAGAGCAGTCCTGGGGCTGGCACTTGGACACAGACCTTGGTGCAGCTGGACACAAAGCAACATCTGGGCACTGCCTCAGAGCAAACCCAGCTCCAAAACCTCCCCGCTGCCCCAGACAGTGCCTGCCAGGGTGGAAGCACCTGCCCAGGTCACAAACACACCAAGGGAGTTTCCGAAACCAGCAGTGACCTGCAATCTTGGGTGGAGCTGCAGGACTACCCTGTTCCTCTTCCAAAACCTCTGCAAACGCCCATGCCTCCATGCAGCACTGCACGCTGACCCCAAAGCCCACCCCATCACCTCCCCGAGCACTGTCCAGGGGCATGTGGTCCATCTCCTTGCAGCCATCACGTAACACGAGAGCAGTCAACTTACGGCTGGGCCCATGGATCTTGATGGGTTTGGTGCTGATGAGAGAGTGGGAGCAGTTTTGGCAGACACAGTCCTTCCCGCTGAACGTGACCTTGTCTCCGATGGGGAACGGCTTCCTATGGCCAAGGAGAGGTGGGGAGGAGTGAGCTGCTCACCCCTCTCCATGCACTGCTTGGGGCTGCCCCCGAGCTCCTTCCCCAGGGGCCAGAGGGACCTGCGGTGCCGTGGAGCAGAGGGGCTCCAGGCAAGAGCTACAAGGGGAGACAGGGAGTGTGCACATGTGCTGGGGCAGGAGAACCAAGGCAGGTATTACAGCAGGTCTCCAGGCTGCAAAGGGAAGCCATTTCATTGCCTCCCAAGGGTTTCCACTAAGAAAATGCAGAGGAGGTGCCTGTTGCGGTGCTGAGTGGTGAACAAGGGGCTGTGGGCTAATGAACAGCCCTCTCCCTGGTGCACAGCCAAGGGCTGCACAGAGCTTCTGCAGGGATGGCATGCATCCTTGGTGATGGCTTCAGCTCACCTGCAGGTGCTGCAGACGAAGCACTTGGGGTGGTAGGTCCTCCCCAGGGCAGAGATGACCTCTCCAGTGATGAAGTCCCCACAGCTGTCACAGCGGGTCCCATAGAGCTGCTGGTAGTCGTGGGTGCAGATGTATTCCTGGTTCTTAAAGAAGAAGCCCGACTGGGCCAGGTCACAGCCGCACACTGCAAGGGGAGGACACGCACCCGTCAAGGGGGCAGCGGGCAGGTCCAGCCCCAGGGCTTGGCCAGGATCTCCGAGCCCACCTCTCCTGCCTCTCCAGCAGTGGTCCCAGGGCATCTCTCAAGACCCAGCTTTCTGCAGGTATCTCAGAGGGTTTCCCCTCCCACCAGACATGCTGGGGCCTTCCCCAGCACCACAAGATGTCAGTGTCGGGCTGTGGCGGGGTGCAGGATGGTGCTGCCCAGACAGACAGGGCTGGGCGCTCCCAGAGCAAACCCCAGCACCGGGAAGGGAACCCCTGCAGCCCCCACTCACCATCCACAAACAGCCCAGGAGTGCCCGGGGCATCCCCTCCTGGACCCACAGCACTTGGATAGGGCTCAGCCGCTCCATTTGACACTCTCATGGCATCAGGAAGCCGAGAACAGGACTGGCGAAGATTTGGGCATGTCCTAGAGACAGCTGGGGAGAGGTGCTCTCCACACCCTGGGTCACGGCCTTCTCCATAAAGAGCCATCTACACTCCCTGGACTGGATATGAAGCCGTGCCTTAATGGAAACGGGTCCTGGGACACACCGGGGTTAGCGCTCTCACCGCTTGTTTTTCTATAGGTGTCCAGCCCAACCTCACTTCCTTCCCTGCTGTGGGAACTGTGGGTGGTGCACAGCCCATCAGAGTAATCCAAGGAGACGTGGCAAGCCCTGGCCCTTAGTGTCATTTCCCTCCTACGTCTTCTCCATCCACAGAGAGACCTCAAGAGCATCAGAGCCTGGAAGGCACCTCAGGAGCGGCACGGGGACCAAGTCCTGGGGCCTTTGCACAATGTCCATCACCTGTCCTGCAAGCTGATGGGGTGGACGGGGGAACTACTGAGCACCCAAGCACCCGCTGGCACAGCCCATCTTGGTCTCTGCTTTACCCTTCACCCCCAAGCACCCCTCTGTCCTGTCCCTGCACACCTCACCTGTACCCATGGGCCAGCCCGCACAGCAGCCACCCTCCCCAGGGCAGAGCTGGACCTGCTGGCTCCAGGGCCCACAGGGGCAGCGATGCAGCCCCTCTCCCGCAGAGCATCCCCGGGCAAAGCTGCTCCCTGGAGCTGCGGGTAGACAGCTGGGGGTTACAGGGCCAGCACCCACTCCACCCTGAAGCAGCCTGCCAGCACTTACTTGTCAGTGACAAGGGACAGGCCACCAGCTCTGGGATAGCATCAGGAAGCAGAAGCAAGAAAAAACGAGGCAGGTCTAGGCTCTGTTTGCTGTGGGACCCATAGCACAGCCCCAGGGGCTGCATTAGCCATACCAGGCTCCCGGGGACATGTCAGGGACAAGCCGTGGGGCTGGCGTGAGAACCAGCGGCAGCCAGGCAGAGGTGGCAGGGGGTAAGAGCTGTGAGGGAAGGTGAGACAGGAGGATTTCCTCTCATTATTTATTCCCTTTCACTTGGAAATCAGGCAGCGAGCACTGCCAAGCTCTCCCTGCTGGCTCCTGGACCCTTTGAAGCCGACGGGTGTCTGAGCTCTTTGTCTGGATGCGCAGCTCCCACTCGATCCCTTACATCCGAGCTGGGACTCGGCAGTGTCCCACATGCGTAGGTCAGCCCCGAGGGCAACCTGGGGCCCACACCCCAGCCCAGGATCTGGGGCTGCCCACGCCACAGGGGACAGGGCTGCAGTAGGGGTGGTGACAGCCCAGGGGAAGAGTCCACCCCAGCCAAGCTCCCTGTTCCCTGGGGAGGAGCAGCAAAGCATGGCCAAGGAGACAGGGATTTATGTCCCGCTTAGCACAAGGTGCTGTGAGCTTGGAAGACTGGAGACCTCTAAAAAGCCCTGGTAATGGGATGCTTTACAGCCTACAGAAACAGCCACTGGCCTGGTTGTGAGCAGCTGCTTTAATAAACATGGTAAGGAGCCCTTCACCGTCAGGTCTGGGCCGTTAGCTTTTACAGCTCCACCACTCTCCTCTTGTGCTCAGGGAGGATTCAAGCAACCTCTCTCCTCTATTTCTGACAGCCCCTGGGGACTGCCAAGCCCCAGCTGCAGCACACAGCATCCCACGGCACCTTGGTCGCATCCCACGCGTGGGTGGCAGCGATCCATCACCCACCCCCAGCCCCATCAGGAGTTGCTCCGAGCATCTTCCCCACCTTGCTGCCTCTCAGCCAGGCTGGCGACACCTCCTCTTCCTCCTAATTTGGGGGCAGGCAGGCAGTTGAAGGACGTGGTGGCCCCCCCAGATCATAGATGGGTCATGGGTATGTTTGGGACTGGTGCACCATGGGTTGCTGGCATTCAGGCAGCTTGAGGGTAGTGACAGTGCCCAGGTCTCGGCCACCCCTGCTCACAGCCTGCTAGCTCTGCCATCACGCAGGGACATTGCCTGCACCACGCCAGCCCTGTGCCGTTACCTCCCCACCGACACCGTGCCACATCCACCCCTGCGAGAAGCTGCCACCCCCGGGCATGTGACCACATCTCAGTGGGGTCAGGTAGGTCTGTCCCCAGCCTTTTGCTTTCCAGACTGCACCCAGGGCCACAGGACAACCTGGCCATCAGCTCTTCAGGAGGCACCATCCTACCTTGGCAGGTGAAGCAGCGGATGTGGAAGTGATTGCTCTGGACACGCACCACCTCGCCCTTGCAGGTGTCCCCGCAGCGGTAGCACTGGATGACGGTGGAGCTGCTCCCAGGGGTGTAGGGGTTTTGCTGATAGGGAACTGCTGGCAGAAAGGAGGGAGGGAAAAGCGAGAGAGGGGAAGGGTCTGTTAGCATTCGGGACACCGCCGGGTATCATGACACTGACCTCAGCTGGGCAGCTGCAGAAAAGCCCTGCGGTGACTGTGACACAGCAGCCAGAATCGGGCCATTGCTAAGGGCAAAGGACAGCCGAGACTCTGCTGGAGCCCAGTGACTCTGAGCTGGGTGCAAATCCCTGTCTGGATTTGGGATTTCCCTGTCCCCACAAAAAAGCCACTACCCATGCTTGGCTCACAGGTCTGCAAGTCCTAAGTGCTGTGCAGTGCAAGTGCCTGGGCACTGCTCCCTGTCCCTGCATGGATAACCAGGCACCCGCACCATCACCCCAAAGCCATGCAGAGCTCCCCGGGTGCTCTTTTATCTCCGAAGCAGATGCAGAAGGAGAACGCAGGGACCAGCTACCCACCGGCTCTGCCCAGCCCTCCAGCAGCCCTGGCTTGCTGCTGACCTGCTCAGAACCAGGCCAGCGAGCACTGATTTGGCAGCAGCATGGGAAGGAACTGTTGTTTTTTTGGAGTTTCCACTTGTTTGGTTAGGAACTGGATGAAGCAGACATTTTTCAAGGAGCTTTCAAACATCACAGCAGTTGAGTGTTTGGCCCCGGTGGGACTCTTACCTCCTCAGCAAGGGGCAGCATCCCAGCCCCGTGGCTCCGTCCGGAGCAGCGCCGTGGCGTGGGCAGGCTCTGCACTGAGCCAAGGGCCGCAGAGGAGGGGAACGCAACATAGCCCCCCCCCGGAGCTACGGGCCAGAGATGACCTCCTCCTGCTGCAGACGGTCCTGGGACTCACGTCTATTCCTCATCCCTCTCCACGACAAGGGCTGATGCTCTGCAGCCTTGCCCCATGCTCCAGGGGAGGAACAATATGGAGCATGAGGTCCTGCTGTCTCACTGCAGAAATCCCACCTTCCAAAACATTTCAAAGAGCAGCTCCTGCTTTCCCTGCCCTACCTGCAAACGCACGGGCTGCTCGCAGGAGCTCCGAGCTGGCTGACACCATGCTAACCGCTGCGGGCAGGGGCCAAGCAACAAAGGGACTTGTTTGCTGTAAGTTTTCAGAGAGGGAGTTGCAATTTGGGCAACTCAAGCAGTGAAGGGCAGGGTTTCAATGGACCAGAGACTTTCTGACCCAGTGCTGAACTGCATTCCCAGGAACTAGAGAAGAAGCTGATTGAAACCTGTTATGTGAATGCCCTCCAGAGCAGGGAGGAAGGGGCACAGGACAGAGGAGATCACTCATCAGAGAGGCTCCTCATTCACCATGGGGCAGATTGTGTGACAGGGAACAGAAACAGCCCATTATTGGCTTCAAAAGCAAAGAAAGAGAAGTCAAAATGACATTGAGACTGTCTCACAGTAAAATCCCATCCCATACACCAAGTACCCAGTGGCACGCTCTATGGACATCCAGCACTGCTCAGCACTGGGAAAACGGGCTGACCCTCCATCCCCTGGGGCAATGGAGCTGCTGGGGACTGGCTGTCTTGCCAAGGCTGACCCGAGGGCTGCAAAGCAAGCCCAGGTACTTATCCTATGAGTGTCCCGCAGTCCCCTTGCAAAGCTCAGGCTCCAGCCTTGACGTGAACTTCCAAGAGTTGCTGGGACTTCCCCCCTGACTGTGCTCTTGCAGGCCAAGAGCTCTCGGAGGCCCAGAGAGGTACCTGAGGTACTGAAGGGCACCGCAGTGCCAACAGAGGAGCTAAGACAGGAGTCAGGCTTGGAGCTCAGACCAGCAGAGACACTAACTAGTCTAGATCTACATCACTTTAAGGGTCCCAAATAAGACGAAGGACACCTGTAAAGGGAGCAGGGTACCCCCACCCATGCTTTTGCAGGAAGCCGCAAGCCCTGGGCACAGGGGTCCAGGACCTCCTGTGGTAGCTGCTGCTGGTGGGAACCCATGAACTCTGCAGCAGCCTGGGGGGACCCAGGCCTGATCCCAACAGGCTCTCCTGAGGCTGGCATAAATGGGGGAATCTCTTCTGTAGGGGTCTCCAGCAGAGCAAGAGTTACAGCACTGAAACTTCCTCCCACGCACCCCTTACTCGCACCCTCCCCGAGAACGAAGCAGAAGCCAAGCCCTGGGACACAGCCACGGCAATCCACAAAGCTCGGAGTGAAAAGTAGGAGGGAGGTGGGGTGAAAGGCTGGGAATTAATCAACACTTAAACAAACATTAATAATAAAAAAAAAGGGGAAGAAAAAAAATAATCAATGTCAGAAAACGTAGGCATTACTTATTCCGGGCTTTTGGTCTCTAGGGGAAACTTCTTGGTGTCCATAGCAACACACTGCCAAGCCCCTGCACTGGCAGGTCTGATGGGAGGGAAGGCAGAGGAAAAGGAGTCGAGAGTAGAAGAGATGCTTGTAGCTGTGTTACACCACTGGCAGAGATCAAACCGATACAGCCACTCCTATTTGTACCCATGGAGATGGGTCAGGACCCGGCTTAGGGCACCATCACCCTCTCGCCCGCTGGCTTTGTTCAGCACTACGCCAAAAGCTCCCTGATTTGCGATTAACCTCCAGCCCATGCTGGAATTTCGCTCTGGGAACATTAATGCATTGTTTTGCTGGGGCTCTGCTTGTTTTTGAGCAGGCAGCTGCCCGCCTCGTGGCCTTGCGCAGGAAGCATTACACATCACAACACCCCTCAGCAGAGGGACAGCTGAGCAGGGCAAAGCTCATTACACCAAAATAATCCAGTAATAATGTAAGTAGCATTAGCAGCCTCGCAGGCTGAGATACAGCGGTTGGGGTGAGGGGGTGGGAGCTGCCCAAGGAATGCCTTAATCTCACCCCAGTTTGCTCCTGCTTTTGCTTGTAGAGCAGGAAACCAAGCTGGCTTCATTCAGCAATGAACGCATTTGTGGTCCACGATGCAGCACAAAAGGCTGCCCAGGGCCGGGTTCCTGCGGGGCTGTCCCCACATCCCAGCTGGCGCTTGATCTGCAGAGTCTGAGGGGTGGCTGTGGCCACAACCAGGCAGGGAGCTGCCGCACGGGGCCGCGTGGGCACTCAACAGATTTCCCACTGATCCGGATTAAGGTGGCACCTCCGGTCAGGGATCGGTGCCCTGCACAGTCTTAGGGCCAGATTGCAACCTTGCTTACGTATGGCTGCTGCTACCTGGGTTGGGGGAGAGACAGTGTGCCCAAACAACACACAAGGCTGTTCAGAGGAGCTCTGTCCCCCAGGAGACCGAAGGGACCTTACCCAAGAGATCCTCCAAGCCATGCTGCAGTGAGCAATCTTCAGGTTCCTGCTGTGCATCCCCAGGCAATCCCCCCTCCTTCCTTCCCAAAGCACCCACCTTCCGCTTCAGTAGGGTCAACAACCTTGTTTGCCTTCCTGTCCTCTTCCCGCACAGCATCCCAGCCTTCCACTAAGGAGCAGCTGGATGGGGCGATGCTGAACCCTTACACCACCTCTGAAACACTTGGAGCCCTTTGGGGGCAGGCAGGGGCTGGTTGATGTGAGATGATCCCCACCTACCTTGAGGGGATGGCAGCTCAACACCAATGCAAATAACAGGGCACAACCCTCCAAGGTGGCTCAGAACAAGCTCTAACAGCTGCTTGGGCCCCCACCTCCTGCTCAGGCAGCCCCATACCCCACCAGGAACAAACCAAAACCAAATTTCCAGGAGCACAAGCTGCAAGGAACAGGACACCCAGGAGTATTTATAAAGGTCTGTCCATCATCCCTCACTGGAATCAGACCAGGTCCTGCTGGTTTCTCTCCTATCCTCTCCCTCTCCCAGCCCATTAGCCCTCCAGGAAGGTCAATTAGGTAGAAACTGCTGCAGGTGGGGTTTGTATCATTAGCAACAGGTAATTGGAAGCTTCCACCCAGCTCAGAGAGCCTGCCCTGATGCTGTGTTTGCTATCAGCATGTTTATGAGACAGCATCTCCACAGGGGGATGGGGAGACCTGATTTAATTAATTACCAGTAATTAATATTTGCACAATGCTAGGAGAGCCACAGGTGAAGGGGACTGTGAAAAAGGAAAGCATTCACCCTTTAATTAATAACGAGAGGTGGTACCACCATGGGAAGTTGATGTGGGTGGGTGCCAGCAGTGCTGCTGGCTGTGCGCTGCTGGCTGTGCACAGGGGAGATGTCCCCCCTGGGTGCTGTGGGTGTCAGCTTGGTGTCCAGCTCCAGGGGGTGCTGGGCATGTGCCTGGGTGAGACCCAAGTTGGGGTGGATGCCAGGAGGCAAGGGGGAGCAGCAGCAGTGTGTCAGGGCAGACGATGCTGTCAGGAACCCTCACACCTCCATGGGGCTGAGCCCCCTTCCAGTAGCCGCTGCCTCCCACTCCTCCCCACTGCCTCACAGTGAGCGCCTCACCGCAGTCATCCTCTGCACACTCCTGGCGTTAACTGGGGCTGTAAATCGTCCTCTTGCAGAAACCCACTGGGAGCGGTGGGACCAGCAAGGCATAGGGGGTGTGTGGGATGCAGCTCCCCT